CAATTATAGTTCGAAAGATTTAATCTTGAGTAATCTTATTAGCTTTCCTTATAATGAATTTAATCTAAAGTTAACGAAATATAAAGAAAATAATGAAATAAACTTTTTTAAGTTTAAACAAGAAACGTAGAAAACATATAATTTTCTTTATAATCAACTAAAATCTAAAACAAAAAAAACGAAGAAAACAATGAAATAAACTTTTTTAAGATAAAAAACATAGTAAATGTGATTAGTCGGTATCACAGTTATGGCATACATAATACTGATTTCCAGCAGTGCACTTCTCATGAGCCCAGTTCTTACAATCGACATACTGGATCCACTTTTCTCCAGGCTTGCTCTTACTATAAGAATCAATACATACCAAACAGAAACAATCTTCATCCACAGAGGATGTATCCTGAGACAGAGTGTCTTTTCTTTTGATATGTGTTGTGTTTCTTTTCTTGTTATTTGCACTTTTCGTCTTTTCATTTTCTTTATCAACAAAATTCTTTAATTTCTTTTTTGATTGTGCTTCCTTCTTTTTGTCCTATTTTTCTTCGAATTCTTTTTTTATAATTTCTTTTTCAGGACTATCAGTGTAAATTGCCGTGTATCTTTTTTTCCTCCCTCTGTTTGTAACTTTTCTTTCAGAAGCTTTTGGGAGAGACCTAACTACTTCCGGGGAAAAACAACATTACTGGTCGATGGTGTATTTTCAGATAGTGCACTTGTCAGTATATCGCGTTTAGAAATCACTTCTTCCAATGCTTTAGTTGAAAAGTCTTGCTGATTTTTGGCAGTCTTATCGTAGGCTCTTTTTTCTGTTACGACCTTACCTCGTAATGAATCTTGAAAAATCTCATGGTGGTCTTGAGTTTCAGTCAGCATATCAACAGGATTTAAAGGATTCTCATTTACTGTTTCGATAGGAGTATTAGGATTTGGTCTGTCCGTTACGTACGACGGAGCAAAATCAACTTCAGTAAATAAATTGCGATTAAATGGGGATATTCCAGTATTTGTGAAACCGGCTTGAATGTTGGATGGAGTTACTGCCAATGGAAAAGCGGTAGCAACGATACTAGGAATATCATATATTTTCATAGTTTTTCCTGGATTGTTGTGGATCCAAGCATTACTAGCAGTGTTAATGGCTTTCTTAAGTGGCCCATATACAGATCTATCAAGCGGCTGGAGCTTGTGTGTGCAATGTGGAGGAAATGATAAAAGAACGATCCCATTCTCCTTGCAAAAGTCCAGAGATTTTATATTGACATGCGATGAATGATTGTCAATCAACAGTAATACCTTGTGAGATGGAGAAACATTTGAATATTTTTGAAAATGTTGCAAAAAAACTAAGAAATTATCCTCCTGCATCCAGCCTGATGGATTTGCAGCACCAACACAACCAACAGGTCCACCAATTATAAAATGATCTTGGAATTTAACTCTTGGAAATAAGAACGTAGGCGGTAGAGTGTTACCCAAAGCATTTACAGCAGCAGGTACTGTAACAAGCATTCCACGTTCAACTGAGGTTATGGCTCCTACTTGTCGTACTCCACGTTTGGCTACTATTCTGTTAGGTTTGTGAACTGTCGTAACTCCAGTCTCGTCCATATTGTAAATATCTTGTGGCTCAAAATGATGACGATCTAAGACTTTTTCTAAATTATCGTAAAAAGCTTCAACATTTGTTCGATTGAAACTTGTAGCTGTGGCCAAACTGGTTGCTTGGGCCGCTCTTACTGACAATTCGGCATTTCTTGTCATAAAGGAACGAAACCATTCTTCTCCGGCTATTTTGTTTTCATCCCAGGTATTTGGTCTGGCAAGATCATACTTTATAGCTAACTCAAATGCCAATTTTCTTACTTCTTTTTTTGTAAGTCCAAAATATATATCAGCGCAACGGATTAAATATTTTGATAGCTCTCTTTCCTGTTCTTGAGTGAAAACTTTATTATGAGCTTTATAACCCATTTCTACAGGAAGATTTATATTATCAACAGCAGCTTCCTTTTTCTTTTATATCTTGATAGAGACACATGACATAAATTGTATTTTTTTGTTGCCGATCGTACTGACATCCCCCTATTTTTTATATCTTCATACGCCTCCATATAACAGGTTATGTCATGTTCTGCTCTCTTTGTTAAACGTTTACGTACGCGTGGCATCTACAAAACAAGATAATCAATTTAATATACAAATAGTTTAATATACAAAACAAAATAATCAATTTTATATACAAGTAATTACGAGCAATTTAGACAGTATTTTAAAGACAAAGGAATCATTCACAGTGCCCCATATACCGCTGAGCAGAATAGACGAATTGATCGAGAGAACAGGTCAATCGTGGAAGGTGTCCGGACCATGTTGCTTGCAGCCAACCTTCAACCTGGACTATGGGCAGAAGCTGTTAATACTAGCATATATACTCTAAACCGAAGACCACGAGAGTTGGATAAGAAACTACCATACGAGTTGTGGTCAGGTAAAACAGCTACACTCAATCATCTACGCAAGTTTGGTTCTGAGGTGTATGTTCACGTCCCAAAACAGTTTAGATCCAAATTTGAAAACAAATCAAAGAAGATGACTCTCGTAGGCTACGATAGAGATAGCTCAAATTACAGAGTGCTCGATCCAAGTACATCAAAGTTCACCATAACTCGAGATGTTGTATTCAACGAGAGCAACAGCAGAAATCAGGACGAGGAATCCAGCGCTATCACCTCTCTGTATGAAATATGTGACACCCAAGAAACTGTAAATGCTCAAATCGAAGAAGAGGACGACGAACAGACAGAGGCAGAGGGAAACAACGTCGATGGAATCGAAGATAACACGAATAATCAAGAGTCTCAAGAACGAGTGCTTCGAGATCGAAGTACACTGCATCCTCTTGTTCGCTTCGGTGAAGATCATTATCTGGCATGTGCAGCAATGGTTACAGAAGAGCCTCAATCCTATGTGACGAAGGCGACAGGGGAGGCGCAAGCGCGAGAGAGAACGCACTACCGGGTGCGAGCGAGCGATCGATAGCGGCGCGGTTGCCACGTCGACGATAGCCGGCAACGCCGCGCCTGCCCCCGCCGCCTCTACCCGCGCGCCTGCATCCGGGGGGTATAAAAGCCCCTCCGGAGCAGGCGATGAGAGTCAGTCTTCGCTCGGAGCTCCGAGCGACGACAACCGGCAGTGGGTACCTCCATTGCGGTATACGCCGATTTCACGGGTGCTCCTGTCCGTCGGCGATATACCATACCGGAGCACACGACAGGTGGAGGCGCTGCTCCGTCGTGTGCCCCAGCCCCACAGTAACGTACAAGAAACGGGGTGTTGCCCGATGTACACATGTTACTATTCCCGTACCGGTCTCCTGTATTCGTCCCTGGCTCCGTTCTCCCCGTGACCACGGGCACCTCCGTGTTTCGAGGGGACGGAGTATCTCCGCAGTAACGTACGCATAACGAGGCGCTGCTCGGGCGTGTCCCTAACCTATATCCGGCTCCGTTTTCCGTCTTAGCATCAGGGACACTCGTGATTTGACGGAGCGGAGTAACGCACGCACGAGGTACTTCTTGGCGTGCTCCTGTCCTGACCAGATCCTTTTCCTGTTCCTGACCGGTGTTAGAGTTTTGGGGGGAAATATTCGGGTGGGAAAACAATTTCCAATTAATTCTAGTATTAAGCTCCGTAGAAGTAATCCCGTTACTTTTCTCCCTTACAGACCAGAGGATCCTGCATAAAACCACCCTCCACGATTGTTTCCCAGCGCGATCCAGTGTTACACAATATTAATATCGTTATACTAATTATCAGCTTAAATATTCCGGTACATTATCTTTAGTTGTTCACTATCTCGTTTCCGCTTATACCATACCGCGATACTTGCGTTTCCTAGTTATTCCGCCGTAATTATTTTAAACACTGTAATTATTTAGTTTTCACGCAAATCAGAACGTAGCGAATCCGTTCGGTTACTGTACCTTATGATCCAGCGGCGGTTTTCTGTACTTCCGATTAATCCGACCGGCCCTATTATTTTGTATCCCGTATTCCGATCCGGCCGTGTACTTTTGTACATTATCCATCTAATAATTTTTCGTTTGTTCTTCCTTTGTATTTTATCACAGGGCGGACCCATTGTATTACTAATCCTTTTTCTCCTTTGTATTTAATCACAGGGCGGACCTATTGTAATTTCCTCGATCCCATGTATCTTATCCATGAATAAACCTCGTTTTCCTATCGTTTTCAACTAGATAGACACTTGTCAGACTTATTTTCCGATCCTTCCAAGCGATTTACCTCACTAGTAAGATCCTTTCCTCCTTTCCTCCCGACGGCCCTGGAGCTGAGCATATTCGGCAAATAGGAGGAACGGAGGATTCATTTAGCCGACACACAGCACGTCAACACCGGAATAAGAACGCCAACTCTTCCAACCGTTAGTCAGAACCGCGCGTCTGACTAAACACCGTATTTATTCGCGTAATAAATAGTACCCGCCGGAGTCCTGTCCGGAATCCAGAACCGGGAAGAGTTGAGCGGTATCGTTACACCTACAAGCAAGCAATGTCCAGTGAAGTTGCTGATAAATGGCAATTAGCAATGGAAGAGGAGATGACATTGTTAAAGAAAAATGAAACATGAAACCTGGAGTCACTACCACCGAATCGTCAAGCGATCGACTGCAGGTGGGTCTATAGAATCAAGCGTAAACCTGATGGATCAGTCGACCGATATAAAGCACGACTCTGTGCGAAGCGTTTTCTACAAAAAAAGGGTATAGACTACAAGGAGACCTTCGCACCTGTAGTGAGGTATGACTCAGTTAGAGTACTACTGGCACTAGCAACAATCAATGACTTGGACATCAAACAATTCGATGTCAAGACCGCCTTTTTATATGGCGAACTTTTAGAAGAAGTGTTCATGAAACAACCCGAAGGCTTCATAACCGAAGATCCAAATTTAGTTTGCAGATTAAGGAAGAGTCTTTATGGATTGAGACAATCTCCTCGCTGCTGGAACAAGAAATTTATCAAATTTCTTGAAGAGTTCAATTTCAAGCAGTTGGAAGCAGATAGATGTGTCTTTCGAGCGGAATATGAAGGTGTCGAGATCTTCCTGGGATTATACGTGAATGACGGTCTTGTTATGTGCAAGAAAGTTGAGATAATCGACAAAATTCTAACAGAACTTGGCTCAAGATTCGAAATAAAAGTAAACGATCCAAAATGCTTCGTTAGACTCGAAATTAAGAGAGACAGGACAGCGAAGAAGATGTTCATCAGCCAACAGGGTTACATTACAAGAATGATAGAGAAGTTTAACATGCAGGATTGCAAACCAAACGCAATACCTGCGGATCCAAATACCGAACTAACAAATGACGACAGCCCAACGAACATCACTGAAACGCAAGATATGAGTCAAGTCCCATTTCGTGAGGCAGTAGGGAGTTTCATGTTTGCGGCAATAGTATCACGTCCGGATATTATGTTCGCCACTAGCCAAGTGAGTCGATTCTTGCAGAATCCTGGTCGAAAGCACTGGGCAGCCGTTAAACGGATTTTAAGATATCTCCAAGGAACAAAAGACGTAGGAATCATTTACAGTGGAGACACTGTCGACCTTAAGATGTTTGCGGATGCTGATTTTGCTGGCGACATGGATTCTCGAAGATCAACGTCTGGATACGTCAGTACTCTGGCAAACGGGCCAATTACATGGTGTTCACAACGGCAAAAGTGCGTTGCACGTTTCACGACGGAAACCGAATACGTGGCTGCTTCCAATGCAGCTCAAGAAGTTGTTTGGTTGCGGGCATTACTTCAGGAGCTAACTGGACCGATGGAACAACCGACGAAGCTACTGATGGACAATCAAAGCGCCATCAGACTGGTCAAGAATGCAGAACATCATAAGTTGACGAAACACATCGACGTTCATTTCATTCACGAGTGTGCCGATAATGGTATACTTGAAGCCATATACGTTTTGTCTCAACATCAATTAGCTGACTTTTTAACCAAACCACTTCCATGAGATAAGTTTAACAATAACTGCATTTGTTTGTCTATTACCCCTTATTGACAAAATTTAGCAAATTAAAAGTGGGAGTGTTACGAGTAATATTTGTTTTGTTTTCTAATTTTTGTTTGAACATTTTCTTTTGTATCTCGCGCCCTTGTACTTTAGTTATTTTTGAGTTGAAGTGCACTTGTACACTTTTCTTTACGTCGGAGGGCGCTGTAAAACGCGGTTGGTAACGCTGTAGAAAATATAGCAAGAAGACAAGATGTACGAATTGAGTCAGTTACAATAAAGACGCTCGGATCTGAAATACATAGAGATTGTGAAGCCCTTTTATTCATTTCCCAGACCTCAAGACAAGTCAGAACCTTTAACACAAAACAGCATAATCAATTTTATATACAAGTCATTTGACATACAAAACAAAATAATCAATTTTATATACTAGTTTGATAAACGTGGGTACGGTTGGTTGTAACGTTACAACCTACCACAGAGACAATGTTACAATCGTCCTTTTAGTGTCTCTCGATATTATTTAATTTTTATTAAAAAAATGGATAACGATAGCGAAACGAACCTTTTATATATTCATTCTCTAATGTCCAATTATTGTTAGAAAAAATGCGCATATGTGTAGGATTCATAATAAAAGAAGGAAATGAAAAATAGTTTACGATTTAGTACTTACGTTTTATCGTAAAAACATAACAATTCCTCCTGACGCACACAGCACGCACACTGCGACGTGGACGACTAGCGAGCAAGTTAGTACATGTCGTCAGCCCCCTAACCTCTTGGGTGAGGTGCGCCATCGTGAACGTTTGTCGAGTTATTCGCAATGTTACAACCGACCTCCCGTTACAACTGTACCCATTCTACCCTATTTAAACCTTTGTTCCATAGGAAATGACGAATTAGGTCACTGATGCCTT